TATATATATATATATATATATATATATATATGACCTTTATGAAATTTCTAGAGGAAACGTCGAGCATTCTGAGAGATCTGTCATGCAAGTGTGTGATGAAGGACATATAGGTCAGTTCCATAAATATAAGATTAATCTCGCTTTAATTTGCTATTTATCTTTTTCTATTTTCAAAAATTAGAAAAGAATAGTAGATTAAATCGAGAGTAAAGTTAATCTTATATTTTTGTGGAATCAGATCATAGGGTGCTTTTCAGCAAGAAACACAGATGACATATAATGAATTATTACATCCTTATTGTTTGCCAGTGTTAAATAAAGATAAAATAATCACTGTGTTACACTGTGTCTCTTGTGTAAGCACCATTAAATATAGTAATCATAGTACGTGTGGGTCATAGCACTCTCGGCCAGCGGCCGGTACGACAAAATTGTGTAATGTAAATTCAGGTCATTTTCGACAAGTCGCCAACTTTATGCAGTCGTTTGCTCAGCCGAATTCCTAATTTCTATTTCTAGCATCTTTTTGCAATAGATTTCCATATATTAAATTCCATTAAATAATTTTTATAAACAATTTTAATCTTTCAAAAATTTTTTTCTTAAGCATATTGATATCATTAACTTTGTTCGATTATTTATTACCTGCATAATTATTGCAAAACTTTATCTTTATACTGTACACATAATTATCAAACATTATAATATTTGATAATGAGAATAAAAGAAATTCTAAGAGAAATTCTACATTTGGTCAAAGATCTTACAATTAGTACTTAAATATTTCCGGTGTGAATTTATACATATTCAATTCTGCAAACTGTGCTTCGAAATCTTTTTCAGTCTTGAAATACAATCAAGAACAGAATTAGAGTAATATTATAACATCACATATTAAATTGACAATTAAATAATATTGATGTTAATTAATATCTTATAAGAATTAATACATATCTGTAATTTGATGTTAATATATAAGAATCTTAAAAATTATTAATAATTTTATTGCGGAAAATATTATCTCATTCGGGATTTGAAACTGATTTATCAAATATTGATTTATCAAGCTACCCTGGATCTTTGGACAAACAGGTGTGCAAATGTGTGTAAACAACCGATCGCTACCGTGTTATATTAAAATAGAAGAACCGCCTGTTAGCCGATTGCATAAGCGCTGACGACAAAGACTCATTGGCCGACATCCAGAAAACTATGACTTCAAACGATACACACTCGGATCGCGCCCGTGCGCCAATTTGATAAGGGCCTGGCAATCTTCCTGGTTGATGTTCTCGCGAATCGCGGAATTTATTGCGTGGTTGAGTTTTAGTTCGCAATTGCAGTTAATATTATCTGAAATTTTGCGACATAGTTGGATACTTTTAGACGTTACCAAATTTTCTGTAGGTCACGTTTCACGTCACCGTATTATAGTTATACTTATCCGTTATTGTGACATCTAAAGTAAAAACTTGTACGTAATTTATTGTATTATTCTCCACGCGCTACATTGCAAATATTTACTCGATGATATTTGTAATTGCAGGAGCATTGAATTATTGTGTGAATTTTTCAATGAACATTGACATTGATTCCAATTGGCACTGTGTCAACTTTAACATAAGAATATATTGCGTCAATGTACGGTTCTTGATTTCTCTAACGTATTGCACGTTAAAGTTTACTTGACATTGGCAAGGCACTAGTATGTCTGGCGCCACGAATAAATTGATTTACGAATCCGATTTACGAATCCGACATTTCAACAAAAACAGAGAATAGAACAGAGAATAAAACTATCACAATTATAATAGAGAAACTATAATAGAGAATAAATTTATCTTTCAGATCGGCGAATACGCGAGCGCACATTGGAAAAGCTCTGGCTCAAGAATTCCGGTGCAATGGAATCGTTCATTATGACTTTGGAGGTGAATAATTTTTAATTAAAATAATCTTTTGATCTTGGTCACGTTATCTCTCTTCGCTCCTATTAATTGTAACGTGTAGCGTCTTATCTATGGATAAGCTACGATTGTTTCGCGTGTTAACAATAGCCAAAATCGATACGCATATGTGCGAGAGAGAGAGATAATTACTATACATGTGAGCTTACGATTATTCGATTGGCGTATCATTGACACGACGCAGAGCCAAGAGTTTGAGTAAGCGTGGTAATTAGTACTATACTACTATCTGTGAAATATCGTGTCCGTATCACGTGTCACGCAACACGCATTTTACATTGTCTGCATGTCGAGAAAGTCGCGAGGCCGCTCGTAAATCTAAATCCATGTGTTCCAGATCTTGACAAATGTCAGAACAAGTATATAAAATAATTGCTTGCATATTGCTCACGAGATTCTTTATAATTACTTTTCTGTTATCGTAGTAATTTTTATTACTATTGCACTATTTATACAAAAAAAGGGAAAAAGAAATCAATATGTTTAAGAAAGAATTGAGATTATTTTTCGAAATTTATTTTTAGAATTGCAAGGATTACGTTGCTAATTGCAGCATCGCCGGCATATTACATGAATGTATATCGCCCCGAATGATCAAAGGCAAATCTAAGGAAAGGGGGAGCAAGAATAGAAGTGCCACAAGTAATGGCAATTATAATAGAAATACATGTTTTATCGAGAACGCCAATTGTGTTAAATTCGCGGATTCGATAATGTTTTTTTTGGAATGAAAGTAATGTGCTTGTTTTTTAATAGGAACCAGTAACCGAATGGCGGTCATTCAACTGATCAACTTAGGTATCACGCAAGTCCTAGTTAAACTTTTAATAAATCTGCAATACGCGGATAGCATCATGATCGAAGTACTTACTCAAGACATCCTCTGGATTTTGGGACAGGTGATTTTAACGACGATGCATTGCAATATATAAGCTCCTTTTAATTTTATTTTGCACAATTAAAACAATTATTTTGTTTGGTTCGCTGCTTCTGCATGAATAGAAGGAAATACTTTTGACATATTGTATGTCTGCGCAGCAGAACTTTTATCGATCGTACTGCGTACGTCTACGAAAATATTTTTCAATTTTTCTAGAGTCTAGAATTTATTTTAACTATTTCTAACTTTTTACATTGTAATTTTATGCATTATACTATCATATTATTTTTGTTTTAATATGGCAATTAAAATTCTTAGTTTATGAAATAACTAAAACTTAAAAAAGCATACAATTTTCTAAAATGTAGAAAATATAAATTATTAAAATATTTTTTTAGGTGGCTCAGAGGGACCAGAAGTTTGTGTCAAAAATGAAACTGCTCAATTCCATAAAAGTGTTCCATGCACTGTTAAAGCAGCATTACAACAACAGTAAGACGTTATTACCGCTGTTGTTGATCATCAAGACTCTTGCTAAAAACTGTAAGCAACAGTTTGTTTTATGCATCTGATAATTCGCTTATATGTTCGAGGATAATAAAGTTATTATTCTCTTATAGCTTTTTCCTTGCAAACATTAGTAAAAGACGATATTACTAGCACTTTGGAGAAAACCTTTATCAGTGTTGGTTATACGCCACATTTGAAACTAAGGACATTATTAGAGTGCTTCAAACATTTAACGACAAATAGTAAGAACGTGTAATTACGTATAATGTAATTTTGTTTTTCATTATTAATTATTTTAACAATCATAATCTTTTATTTCTAGAATTATGCTGTAACAAATTCATTAAGACAAGAATAGTACATCTGCTTATGCGAATTTTCGAGAGATGGGAAAGATTCGATGGGCAGATGCGCTTGAAAATTTGCAATTACGCCTTGAATACACTTCAGCATTTCTGCGTAATAAGTAAGTTTATTAGAGAAAGACTCTATAAAAAGTATTGTGAAAGTATACTAGTTGTTTAATTTCAAATTTTGTATATTTCTCTGCTTGAAATTGTTTTTATATTTTATATTCTCATTCTCTATTAACGTTCTTTTGAAAGTCGTCGGTATCACATACGTATACTCTTTGCCTGACATTCTAGAAGCTGGAAGGAAGGCTATCAAGTCGAACAATGGCCTACAGCTACTCTACCGGTTCTGCACGAGTTGTCCAGAGGATAAAGCTTATGACTGCTTGCTGTCGCGTATTTACGGAATAATCAATCAGTGTCTAGATAAAAAGGAACTGCCGGTGCCCGAAATGTCGCCCGCGAGGTGAATGAAGTTCGAGGTCATTTCGACTAGTATAAACTAGTATCTCGATAATTGTAATATGTTTATTATATTTTTTTGCCTTTATACAAAGAGTACATTATAAACATTATGAGTTGATTACTTTTTGTGTTGCTACAGAGATCAAGGTGAATAAATAACGATAGTTTTCATTGTAAAATATTATCGGATTAGTTGAAAACTAACGCATTCAAAGGGCATAATAATCCATTTACAATTACGATTATATGCATTAAACTTTTGGTTGGTTCTCTTTTTTTGCATGCAGATTTATTCTATCCGAAGTGAATGTCAGGGCGAATAGTGCTGAGAGCGGTAGCGACATCGACAGTCAGGTGTGTCATTTCTTCATAAAAAATCAGATTAACATAACACGCTGCGAACGTAATATTTGAAGCCTCACACTGATTAAAATATACGTTTATTAATAACATCATACTAAGAAAAAAATAATTTATTTGATTAAATCAGCTTAATTCATCTTTATTTTTTTCGACGAAATATATACGTATGTATTTAATCAAACATATTATATTTGATTTAAATACATATTCTCCGAAAGAAAGAACGAAAGAAAGAAAAACTAAATTAATTTAATCAAATGAATAGTTCTTCTCAGTGTATTTCCTCTAACAATTCTTATTTTGCGTACATAATATCGCAATGTATCCAAAATGTCCATAATATAAAAATTCTATTAAATTCTGCTATTAAATGTTCTTGTGATTCAAATATTAATTTATATATAATTATAATATATAATTTCTGTGAAGGCGAACAGTGTGGCTTCGATTGGTAGACGGTACAGCGATCTTGATTCCGGGGATGACGAGGAGAGTCACGATTCCAGAGATACAATGGACAATGAGATTCACTTGGGCGATGAAGTGGACGAGAATAAATTTTTTGCCGGAGTTTTTACCTCGCAGAGATCAGAAGAGGATCTTGCTGGGTAGGTAAAATATAATTTTTACAAACGCACATTGATATCAATTATAATTACAAACATCTCTTTTTTTATATCAGATATCATATGTTCTTCAAGGAGTTGGGAAATTTGCAATCGCAACTACACATCGTCGGATCGACAAATGGCAAACTAATCGATCTTTATTTGATGGATGCTGAGCAAATAAATTCACCGCTTGCGAAAGCGGGAAAGACGAAGATCTCAATCAAGGATTTTTCGAAATCTAACGGTACGATGAAGAGTTGTCAATTGGTGAACAGTACGCACAATTTGAAGATCCTAAAAGACGTGTCTGCAAACGTCACGGATCGACAGGCTTATTGCGTCGTAGCGAGCAGAGTGAGAAGCGTTATAGGTTTTGTCAAGGTCGCCTATCCGGATCTGATTGGTGGCGACGGTCTGGGAAAAGCAGAGCCGCTCAACACTAAGGACAGGAAAGTTTGCCGTGCGAAATTGTTAACCTGCGTGGAACGAGGTCTCCACGCCGCCACCACTTTCCAGGAAGTTGTTTATGACCTTGATGCACTCGCAAACTCCGTCTCCCGGGGAACGTCGGACGATGAGTGGCTGTTTGATAACAGGGACGAGAAGAGGATTGGCAAGCGTAATGTGGACATGAAACGGTTGCAGTTTGAGTCCAGATTTGAAAGCGGCAATCTGAGGAAAGCTATTCAGGTACAGTTTTTCGGTCCGCTACTTGCACTTTATATAATCGATTATGTTCATATTATGTAAGAGACTTCATAGTGACTTAGCGGCAATTTCTGCAAGTTAATCCGAGGATATATATGAATTAATTTCTTTTTCGTTAAATTTCACCACGTTTACATTTAACGTCTGTTTTCTCCTTAGATAGGTCCACGAGAATATGATCTTATCTTGACGCCAGATGTTAACAGCGGTTCCAGACATCAGTGGTTCTACTTTGAGGTCTCCAACATGGAGGCGACTGCATACACGTTCAATATAATCAACTGCGAGAAGACGAACTCACAGTTCAATTTCGGTATGAAGCCGATACTATTCAGCGTTACAGAGGCGCAATGTGGTAGACCAGGTTGGGTGAGGACTGGTGTGGACATTTGTTACTATCGAAATTGTTATCAACGGTCCATCAAAGGAAAAACATACTTCACGACATCCTTCACAGTTATGTTTCCGCACGCTTACGATGTTTGCTATCTGGCGTATCATTTTCCTTACACGTATAGCCGGCTGATGACTAATATTTGGAACTGGACGAAAAGTGTCTCCGTGGCGAACGTATATTTTCGCGCGGAGACGCTCTGCGAGACTTTAAACGACAATGAGAATCCTGTGCTTACCATTACGTCACCAGATTCCAAGACCAATCCTATACATGTAAGAAATCTCTCAGATACATCTTTGCATGATAATACGTCGTTTAACATAGCAAATATTTAAAGCCAAATATCATTCTCTTTTAGACACGAAAGATGATTTTTTTAACATCCAGAGTACATCCTGGTGAAAGCAATGCTTCTTGGGTGATGCATGGAACTATGGAGGCTCTCCTAAGTGACAATCAATACGCCAACAGTTTACGTGACGATTATGTGTTCAAAATAATTCCTATGTTAAATATAGAAGGAGTCGTAAATGGTTGGTGAGTTAATGATTATATATATTTTTATTAAACCGCTTTTTTTATTACACCGCTTTTTTATTAGACAAAAGCTGTGGTGGAGATGCCTAACTTTAGCCTAAGATTTTCTAACTTTACATTTAAGGATATAAAAGGGTACACCTAATGGCAAACGCGTGATACCATAAAACTGTAATCGTATTTTTATTAAAGTTTAGTACACAAGTTGCACATTCATGCTGTTGTACACAAAATTAATATGGAAGTGACTTACCGTAATAGCTAAAGAGTAACGTTTCTCATTGATGAAACTACGTACACCGATCATCATACATCTGGATGACCGAAACATTTACGATCAACTCTCGGCGGTCGCTTTCATGACATCCGTCACGTATTCCAAAATATTTTTAGAATCGTTTGGTTGTCGAACGTTTCGTCTTGCAGATGTATGGATACGTTAACTATGATGATGATGATGATTACCACCTTATAAAGATATGAAAACGCTGACGGAAATTAGCAATCTAATTCGATTAGAAATCATTGGACTTTCATTTTCGTTTAATTTTTTTTATTTTATCTATTGTTCTAAACTTTATTATTAATGTTGAAAACGAAAATTTAATGAGATAGAAATGAGGAATAAATGTAATGTGATGATAATGATATCCGCCGGCGTCATCGATGATAGAAAATGAGAGCTGAGTAATCAAGTAAATGCCCTTGCGAAAATGTAAAGCTTGTCGAGTAACGTCGGCAGGAGAATAATTCGTTTTTTCGATTGACATTACGGTTTTTCTTTTCGACATCTTTGATAATATCATTTCTGAGCTACGGCGTAACTCATTCTCATTCCTTTCAAACACCGAAATCTTAAGGGTTTGAAATAATCATCTCTACCTGCCGCCGACCGAGAAAGCCGACAATAGTGCCTCTCTGATTCAAAACTATCGAGCATTGTGTCGGGTACGCCTTAGAGCTAAACGGCGAGCAGTGACAACGGTATACAATCTGTTTGATCCGCATAACGGCGACAGCTCGCTCGTGTCGCATGTGCAAAACGCACTCTGATATACATATACATGTATATATGTATATGTATACCTAATTCCTCAAAAATGTCGATTTGTTTCTGTCACTTATAAAACGAAATAACGCGATGTTGCCTAGGAGGAAGTAAAGCGTTACTTGGACGGAGGGTCTAATACTTTGCCGTTGGTGCGCACTTTGATGTTGTACCTATAGGCCGGTTCCGCATCTGGCAGGATCGTGCTGCTGTCGTCGTCCTGGTCCTTCATCATCGCCGAGTCCGCCGACAACGCCGCCGTGTCTACCGGTTGATCGTTTACGTAATCCTGCACGCTGTCGTACGGTCCAATTGTATGAGCGTCCTCGAGACCATTATTCGGTAATTCAGTCTCCGCGGCCAGGTCGCCATAGTCGGGGGACTCGCGATGCTCCATCTTCATCTCCGATGAAAAGGAGGAGGAGGCGGAGGAGACGACGGGACGGGAGACCGATGGTCGCAGGACCTCGCGAGTCTCAAGACCGTCGAAAACGCTGTCCTTGCGCGCTTGAGACGTCACGGCGACGTGCCCGGTGAACAGGCTCGCGATGTCCGGGATATGCTCCGGTCTCATATCGTCCAGGCCGCCGACGGCCGTGCGCTCGCGCTCATTACCATCGTCAAACAGCGACGTCGCCGCTTCCGTCGTTCCCGTGTGTTGATATTGCTGCTGTTGATACTGATTGCCAGATGCGGGAGCGGCCGTGGTGATTAACCTGCTGACGACCGGATCCTCTGATAGTTTCTCATCCACGGATGTATCCGCTTCCGGTGGTGTCGCCTCTTGTTCGTTTTGAGCGTTGGTACTCGGATGGTGATCGTCGATGTTGGTGCCGTCGATGTCGGTTCCATGATCACTCGCTTGGTCGTCATTGGCTGGCGCCGAGGTGGTCGTGATATAGGGCCTGTGATTTCTGAAAAAACAAAATTTAAAAGATAATTATCACCATCACTTTTTGACAAGAATTAAAATAATTAATTTCTTGAAAATCTAATGAGGATATTTACAGTTAGCACATCTTACAATTATTAGTGGCTTAATTTAAGCGCCGCATTAATAGCAGAAGAAAGCTAGTTTCATTGTTGATGGATTAACGTAAATATTTTTATAGTAGTTATCTGTATTTGAGTGAAATTATACATGTGTATATGTGTATGTATGTATGTAAAAAGTATATGTTTATGAATATCGTACGTCAAGAAGCGAGAGAATAACTGTTATCATAAGAATAAGCTGTAAAGGCATTTGCTGGAATTCCGTATCGTGGCTGAGCTATCCTCATTCATCGACACTTTTATCCCGAAGCTATTAGCTATTTGCGAAGATCTCGAACTTTAACACTAGCGAATAGTTGCCCATCTATCACGAATTGCGGAAGAAAAAGCATTTCTCGTTTCGAGCTATTTTCTATTTCTCGCTAGACTGCACGGAGGAAAAAGTTTGTCCCGATTACAAGTACCACGTCGTTTTGCGCCTTCATAAACTTTAAGTATTTTCTAAAAAATAGATTCAAGTTTCACGAGATCGAAATTATAATAACGCGATACGGAATACATTTACGTGAATACATTCATATATTTATATATATTTCATTTATTCACAAATATATATATAATAAATTATCATCCGTCGTTAAAGTCAGCCATCCCGCATACTTCGGTAGCAGGAGGGATAAAATACGTTCAATTATTGCGATATGCACTTGTATAGCTTATCGCCGGAGAGTTATTTACTTTTTGTCCGTGCATAAGCGAGATTCGCTTAGAGTACATCGGTATTCCCTTTTTTTTTTCTTTCTCTCTTCTTCCTTTCGTGTATTTTTGTGACAAGTATTATCTCACCTCTTACCCCTGAGTCGCGGAGACTGGAATGCTGCCGTAGTTGTAGTAGTAGCATCTTGTTTGCTCGCAGATAAAGTCCTTCACGAGAGTGCAATCCTGCGCCTCCCAGGCTAACGTAGGTGCTACCATCGCGACGCATCCGTCCGCGCTGCCGCTGTCGCCACTGAAATCGAGAAACTCGCGTTTTGGAATTTAAATGAGAATACCTGTTTTGACGTTAGCTATTCCATGCATGAGTTTCCGGATGTTAGAACTGCGGAAGAGAGTGGCTGATAACCGCGTTGCTCGGCTAACAACTACGGGTGACTAGTATGCGAATCTTCGATCGTGAAAAATGGTAAAAAGATGGTAAAAAGAAAAATGGTTCTTTGAAATTATATGATTAAGTTATCCATCATTTTTTCAATCCAGTGAATATTTAATTAATGCTTGATTCAATTGTCTTCTGGTTTAACTGATACTTTTTATTAATTAATATAGTACATAAAGTACATTAAATAGTAGGTACATTAAATAGGTACATTAAATAGTACACATGAAAAATGAAATGATATTACCTTTCACGCGCCACCCTTTGAGGTTCGGTGCCAGGTGGTACATCGGCAGGTCTGTTACCAGGTCGCTTCAGCATGTAGTCGAAAGTGACGTTGAACGGCAGTCCTGTACTCATCCATAAAAACATGTCGGTGCCTAGCTTGTTACCAGAGGTCCAAAAATCGTATTTCGTGTAACCGGCGTTCTTCAGATATTGCGTCATCGTGTCAGCCTTCTCTTTCGTTTCGAAAGATGCCAACTGGAGGCCTAGCGAGCGGCAATATTGATACGCCAGGAAGTAATTCAGTTCCGGACTGTAGGGATTCATTCGTGACACAAAATATTGTATGCCATCCAGTTGGATCGTTGTGATCCTCTGAGCTGTGAAATGAAACATTATATCATTAATTTCTCCAAAAATTCCTTTAATATCGCCAAAAGCTGCGTTTACATCACGTCTTATTTTACCATGTTAAAATTGTATGAGAATGCATTCAATTATAGCACGTGTGCGAAATTAGGGCAAGTTAGTTGATATCATTCTCGGTATATGAACGATAATTCGATGTATATGTTTATATACTTGGTTTCAAATTTACACTCACAATGACAGTGAATATAATAATAATTATATTCTCATTACAGAATTATTAAATTTATAATAAAATATATACTGATTTTCAATCTCTCTTACTATCTCTCATCATGTTTTACATTTTTTACATAGTATTTCAATATTATATTCTTTTTAGATATTTTCTACAATTGAAGATAGGCAGATTTTTAATTTACTTGATCATATTTTATTAATAAAGAATTTTCTAGAGCAACTTATGGTTTATCGAAGCATGTCTGACATTCAGTTCCGACAAAGCCACAAATGGTAGTAGAGATAAAAGAGAATGCGTTCAGTGAATATTAATGTAGTGTTCTATTTCTATTTAATATTTCGAGCTCACGATCGAGAACCGTTATTATAATTAAAAATATCCTTATGTCTTTTATAAAATTTGAAATAAGATCGTTAATATAAATAATAATATCAAAGGCGAGATTTTAACTTGGAAACTTTTAAATAATTTATATACTAGAACTAGTGATTTGCTTCGCAGGTTTTGATATTTGAAATTTAAAGTTTCAGCATTAAGATTTTCAAAAATCGAAGTTTCTTCAATACTTTAATTTTTGAAACTTCGGCAAATTAAAAATATACAATTATTATTTTAATATAATTAACATAGTAATACGAATATATTTTTATAAAAAAGTATGCGGATTTACAAATATAATTTCATTTTTTCCCATTCGCATGAATATCTTTTTCAAAGCTTTGAAAGCAATTTAAACTTTGAAAGTTTGGAATTCTTCAAATCTTCGAAGTTGTCAAAAGTAACATTTCTAATTTATACATGATCAACTTCGTCGTAATAAACGATTCTAAAAATTCGAGAAAAGATCGTATAAATTTATACGCTAAGAAGCATCATTTTCATCGCATTATATACACGATACAATAGTGATACAAGACGTAGCAAAAAGAACGAAATTGAAGAGACTATTCTAACATCGTTCGCTT